GGCAGGATCCTCAGCAAGAGAGGCATGGGGCATGGGGGGTACCAATGTAGCCCTGGGGTGTCTGGGGATTGGTTCCTTGTTCTTAGAAATGTTTTGGAAGCATTTGTTTGTTTGTTTGTTTGTTCATCTATTACTGAGTCTCAGTGTGTATCCCAGGCTGGCCTTAAACTCTTAATCCTCCCACTATGCCTCCAAGGTGCTGGCATTATAGACCTGTAGCACCACTCTGGACTTAACTTATTATTGTTTTTCTTTTTTACAGTGTTAGAAATAAAAAAAGAAACAACAGGCTTTGTGCACCCTTCTGAGCTGTTCTCAGCCCTGGCAGCACCTTACAAGTTGTTTGAGACTTGGGAGGTAGTGCTGTTCCTGTGGACTTGTAACTGAGGAAAAAGAGACATATATGTGCGAGGAGGCTGTGGCTGGCTTTGATATCATGAAAAAAACTGACCTCTGGCCACAGAGCAACAGAATGGCTGGCAGCACAAAGCGTGTTCTCCAGGATAGCTGCAGCTGGGACAGCCGGGAACAGTGGTCCCTTTATATGCATCTGATCTCATCCTAGTGTGAGCGGCACAGCCAAGAGTTGAAAGCACAGACTGCGTGGGGCCTTCAAGATGCCCAAGAGTCTACAAAAGCAAAGCTACAGTCTCAGAAGAAAGGGTCAAATGCCCAAGAGAGAGCAGGGGATGTTCTGGGTCTCGACCTGAGTGGTAGTTACACAAGAAGAGTCATCCTCCTGAAAACAAATATGTTTGAGCCAACCAACTTTCTTCCTGTCACTGTACAAACGCCTCAAGTGATCTACTTACAAGAAGGACAGGCTTGCTTAATCTCATAGCTGTGGAGGCTCTCGTCCAGGGCTAGCCTGCTGCTCTGGAGCCAAGCCAGCATATTATGACAGACTCATGTGGAGAAGCAAAAGCCTCTACCTCACAGCCAAGAATGTAAAGAAACAAAGAGACTAGGCTTCCTTTTTAGCCCTTTGAGGCCATGTTCCCAGTGACCCGAGGCCTCCCCAAGCCCGATTCCCATAGGTCCCATCACTTTCAACATTGCCACCCCAGGACCAAATTGCAGCCTGTGACCGTGGGAAATGCTTGGACACAAACTACAGCAACAGACATTTGGACACAGCACCTGTCACAGACTATGGACAAAGAGGAGGCTGAGGTCAGATGAGCTGTACTCAGGAAGTTTTGGTAACGAATTATGGGTACCCAGTACACTAAGAACTCTGTGTCACAACTCAGAAATGGCACTTAGAAGAAAAACTGAATAAGAGTTCAGTTTTAAAACTATATAAGAATTTAAAGTTAATAAAACAACTTGAAAAATTCAGAAAAGAAAAAAAATCTCAAGATACAATCTTAAGTCAGGTGTAGTTACTGGGACTTGGGAGTGAAAGGGGGTGTGGTGGAAGGAGAGAGTGCCTGGCACACTCAACCATGGACTAAGAGACAAAGAGGAATCTCTGGTCTTCTCTAGCCTTGAGCTAGAAACACCTGTCTTCTCAATAGAGAGGGCACTGTGTTTCTAGTAAAAAGTATTACTGAGAGAATGAACTAGTAATCTGTTCCCAAGTGCTGGCGCCGGGCCACCAGGTGGGCAGGCTGTGTGAATGCAGACCTGTTAGGATGTGGAGGCCATTCTGTAGGCCCTGTCCTGATTTCCCCAGATCATGTCTTCAGCTCATGCGTAAGGGAGGCTTCCACCTATTCCGGCCTTTGAGGTTTAAGGGCTGGGACGACAATGTGTCCTGCAAGTTTTGATCTCTTTTATTACGTCTGTCCACTGTCCTAGTAAAAGCAGGAGGCTCACCCAGCCACTCCACCCTCTCACTTGCAGTCTGGAACTGTCCCAGATTCTGAAAGGGAACTTGCCTGTCTGGAAGGCCTTGTGCGGCCAGTCTCCTGCAGGCCTGCTGAGCTGGCCCCTGTGGACATGCTGAGAAAGGAGAGGTAAATAGTGGATAGATTATCTAGGGCCAGATATGTGTGTCTCCAGCTGCATGAATTCTTCCTGCAGATCTCCTGGACCTGCCCACCTTAGGCACCAGCTCAGGACTCAGGACCCTGGCTCACTGTGTGTCTGATCAATTTGTGTAGAACACAAATTGTAGCCTGGGAGGAAACAGCACTGTGTAAGAAGAGACTTAGGTGGGGCTTCACTGGGGTAAGGGCTAAGGACAGGCTATGGAGCTAAGGGCCAGGCAGGTAGCACCTTGCTGGCCATCTGGAGGCTGGCAGTCGCTGTCAATAGTGACACTGGAGTGTTCCGAGCAGGAAGCAGTATCCTCTAACAGTATCTGGGCAACCCAAATGCTGCTCTGGGCTGCTCTACACATGAGATGCTGAAGGCTGCCTCTGGACTGTGCAAAAACCAGGGATACCATGAGACCCTTAATGGTGGCATCTGCCTGAGCCTCACTCCATGCCCAGCTACAAGGCAAGATCCCCAGAATGAAAGAGAATTGATTGGCCCTGATCTCAGAAGCTGTCCCTGCCCTCATTTTCCCACTCAGGTGTTGAGGCAGGAGAGACACCTGTCATCGCAGCTTCAGTGGATATGGCTCATTCAGGGTTGGGGAGGTGCTCAGAAAACATAGGTGGTACTGATAGGACCCCACAGGGCTCACAGAAAAATATCTGTCCTGACGCTAGTCTTGGAACAGAACCCTGCCCATCTACTCAGCTTGGGTACCCGCCTTGCAGCAAGAGCCATTTCTGCCATTTTCTCAGGAAATGACTAGCATTAGACAGCCATGTGTGCAACTCACTCACAGGATGTAAGGCCTCTGCACTGATTGTGTAGGTTGTTGCCCAGGTGACATGGGTCCATAACCCAGTTCCTCCTCCTCCCTCCTTACCTCTCTCCTTCCCTCTCCCCCCCCCCCCATTTAATTTGAGAGGAGGAAAAAGCCTGGTCAGAGAGGCTTGCGTGAACAGAGTCCTCCTCCCTGCTACTCCCATAGGTCTTACATTGTATATCCAGAACAGGCCTGGGTCCTCACTTTAGCCTTCTTGCTGGTCTTCTGGGTCAGGCTACATCTCCTCTCTCCCTACACTACCCTTCCTTCCCTGTCTCCAGATCCTACCACCTGGTCTGGGTGTTCCTTCCTCTCTGTATTGTTTCTCTCTCTACTTCTTTGTGTCTGTCTCTCTGTATCTCAGTCTCTTTGTCTTTATTTGTTTGTTTATCTCTGCCTGTCTCTCTGTTTCTGCCCCTATTTTTATCTATCTTTCTTTGCCTGTCTTTGAGTCCCTTGGTGCCTCTCCCTGTCTCTGTATCTCTGCCTTTGGTGCCTTTAACTATCTCTCTGGGTATCTCTCTTGGTCTTTGTCTGTCCCCATCTATCTCTGTCTCTGTGAGTTTTTTTTTTTTTTGATACATCTCTGTATCAGTTTCTATTTCTTTGTTTCCTTGTCTCTGTTTCCTTGTTTCTCTCTGTCTCTGTCATCTCTCTGTGTCTTTCTGTCTCTCCCTTCATATTTCTATCTCTCTGTCTCTTTTCATGTCTCTGGATTTGTGCTTCTTCCTTTCTATCTGTCTGATCTTCTTTTACCCTCTTCTTCACATTCTGTAGGCAGGATATTTCAAATGTAAACTTCATCTCCCCTCTGCCCTCTGCCCTGTTAGTTTCCCAGTGTGTTCAGTGAAAAGTCAGGCCCCTGAACTTGCTCTGCCCTGAGTGATACCCCTCTTCACCTTCAGGGATATCAGCAGGAGTTAATGTAGGGGTAGTGCATAAAGCTGGGCTTTTGGGTCTTATGGCCTAGTGATGTTGACCGCTGATGAAATAAATAATCAGAGACAGAATTTAAGAGTCCTATCAGCATTTTGAAAAGAAAGAGGACAAAGAAATGGAAGAAAGATGACAGAACATTAAAAGTCCTGTGAATTTTAGGAAGATCATGTGTGGCAAGGATGTGCTGTGGGGGAGGAGTGGTCAGTGGAGTCTAGGAAGGGCTCTCCTGGAGAGCTGACCCTTGAGGCTGGACCAAAGTAGGTGGGAGGGGCATTTGAGGGGGGCTGTAGAGGGCATAGGGCAGCATTATCCTTTGCCCTCAGGAAGCTCAGGATAGTTCCCAGGGGTAGGAGAATCATGAGGTAAACAGAAGAGGCAGAGCCTGGAGAAGGGCTCAGAAGAGAGGGCATGCCCTACCTAAGTGCTACCCTGCAAAGCTTGCATGAAATGTATGCCATCCTGTTTCTGGTCTTAGACATAGCCCCTAGGAACCTTTCCTTGGCCATCTAGCCTCAAAGGCCAAGTATGGCCCTTTACCCCCGGCCTTTCCTGGCACCCTTTGATCATTCCTGGTGTGATGCTGGCTTCTCCATATCTCCCATCTGGCCATCTGCCGGGGGCAGGACTTCATTGTTGTAGCTCCCTGGTGCCAACACAAGCAACCTTTTCACTCCCTAAGTGCCCCCTGGGAGAACAAACACTGCAGGGCTCCAGAAGCTGGGGTAGCCACAGGTCTTCTGAGGGCCATTTAGAGCACAGAGCTGTGCCTGGAGGAGCCCAGGCCATACAGTGCCACTTCATGTGAGCAGCAACTGGGGAACAGGGCTTCAACCACCTTCAGAAAAAATGATGGGGTGGGCAAAGCCCTGCTCAGTTTCCTACAGGTGAAACATTTCTGAGACAGCCAACAGTCAGGGGAGAACCAGCATCCTGCTGGCGGGCACAGGGCATCAACAGACACCATCTCTTTGATTTTCTGGAGGTCCTGCCCTTCTTCCTGGGGAGTGGGTCTGGCGCTGTGCCTCTCCACACCCAACCCTGGCCTATGTCTGTGTGTAAGGGGGAAGGGGTGCCCAGGCCTGCAGCAGGACCTCCTGTCAGTGAATGGAAGGGGCGGCTCAGCTGGCTGGGCTGGGTGCCTCTGCAGATAAGGCATTAACAGTGCTGCGGGACGCGCCCTGCAGATCTGCTGACACCTCCTTTCAGCCCAGGTGCTTGGGGTGAGGTGCCAAAGGTTCTCTATAAAGAGCCGGGGCTCCTGGGCACCACCACTTGCCCTTTGGCTGTTGAGCTGCCCGTGTGTGCCAGGCCCAAGCCAGCGACCACCATGGTGAGGCTCGTGCTGCCCAACCCTGGCCTAGAGGACCGGATTCCATCTCTGGATCAATTAGAAGTCATAGAGAAGGAAGAGGCCAGCTCCCGGCCCAAATGGGACAACAAGACCCAGTACATGCTCACCTGCGTGGGCTTCTGTGTGGGGCTGGGCAACGTGTGGCGCTTCCCCTACCTATGCCAGAGCCATGGAGGAGGTAGGAGCTGGGGCCCGGGGCAGGGCTTGGGTTGGGGCTATGGGCTGAAGCCAAAGCAGGTGCCCAGGAGTAAACATGGACCAAGGACACGGGATGGACATTCCAGGATTCAGAACCCAAGAGGGTCACAGATGAGGAAGGAAGACTTAGGGCAATGATCTCAAGCTGTTGGTGAGGGACAAGTGTTCTGCCCTTGCCTATGTGAAAGGGGGGTTTGTGTGTAGTTGCAGAATAATCTCCTCCTGGAGATGGCGATGGTGCAGCTAGTGCCCCCAGCTGACACCCCTTTCTGAGGGCAGAACACTCACCTGGGCCCAGTTGGCAGGTGGGCACTGTTGGAAAGGGAAAATTGGGTTTCCAAGAGTGATTCTCAGAGGACAGAGGCATGGACAGAGCCTGTCTTGTTGGACCAGCGTGGACAGAGAGGAGCTGCCGCATTCAGTGACGAAAGCCTCAGCTTGTGTGGTAGCCTTTAAGAGAACCTTAGCTTCCCCAGTGAGGCCCCATGTCTCCCCTTCAGAGAGCCCCAGGATCTGACCCTTGTTCCACTGAAGGTGGTCCACAGCACACTTCCAGGTGGGCCAGGAGGGCATAGCTGGGGCACAGAGGTCGCAGGCATAGCTTCTCCACAGGCTCCGATATCACAGAAACAACTTCCGCCAGTCGGTACGCCAGCTTTTCTTATCCCCAGCCCCTCAAGGGGTGCTGTACCAGAAATGTGTGCATTTGTGTGCGTGCGTGTGTGCATACACACACAAACACACACACCCTTTCTCACCCACACACTCTCACAGACTTACACTCTCTCTCTCTTCCTCCTTCTCTCTCTTTCTCTTACACACACACACACACACACACACACACACACACACGCGCGCACACACGCACACGCGCACACACACACAAACAGCCTTGGGGGAGCTTCTGCCTCCTCACCTCCTACCCAGGCTCTGCCTCCCTAGTGTGGGGCTGTCAGTGGAGGTCTGGGCAGGCCTGGCTGTGTAGAAACTGGCTCTGCTGGGCCAGGGGTGTGCCATAGGCGGGGTTGTAATGCTTCCAGACATTCTCCTCTTGAACGGGCTCCTCTGACTCAGGAGCTGTCTTTCCTTCCAGTCTGCGCAATCACACACTGGCATTGTGAAGGGAAGCTGTCACGGCAAAGATGAAATGGCCACTGTGTTGCTGTGTGGATGTGTAGGCTGGCAGTTTATGACTCTGCCGGCACCTTTCACTCAGACCAGGCTCTCCAGCAAGTGAGAGCTGACAGCCCCAGGTTTTGCTGCGCAGGTGACGCCACCCAGATCCCAGGTGGTCTCAACAGAACTGGCCCAAGGCTTTGCAACCTCCTGTTCTTGAATCCTTTCTGCTTTCTGACAACCACATTTGGATGTAGATAACCCCACTGCAAACAGACCGTGGGCTTCCTCCCACTTCCACCCAGGGAGGGCACCCTTAGGCTCCCCTGCTGTGGAGGAGCTCTGCAGGGATGTGGAGGCGCCAAATGGACGGAGGGTAGGAGGCAAGGTGCCGATGTGTCAGGTCATGCCTGCATCTAGGAGAGAAGGGCCAGGCCTGAGCCTGTCCCACAAGCAATTGTTCAGGATTTCCACAAAAGATCTGTGTCTAAGGTTCAGGCTTCAGTGGAAACCTGATGGGGATTCCCAGCACCTGAGCTCATTGCTTCTCTGAGGCAGCAATGCGCTGGGGACCGTGGGGTGTGGTGCTGCCTCTGAAGGTATGAGGTGCAGTGGTAGGTGCACCAGGCAATACTGCAGACTTCTGTGCCAACCCTGGGAAGACTGGAGGGGGAGAGGTCAGTGGGGGCTCTGGCCCCAGCCTTGGTGGCTTGGGCACCCTGTTCTGAGCCTTGACTTCAGAGGGATGGCCCAGGTAAAGTGGAAAGAACATCTCTTGGAGGAGCCATGCGTCTTTGGGTCACTCTGATCTATGTTGACTCCCCCCACCTTCCCTGCCCACCATAGGACAATCTCCTAGAAGGAAGGGAAGTTTGTGTTTGGGCCAGGTGGACTCAGGAGAGCAGAACTCAGGGACGGTCATCCTGACCTATAGGTTGGCCTCTTGCTCTTAAGGACTGCTCACAAACAGTGCTATTACACAGGGAATTATTTCCAGGCTGAGACTCTGGACCCTGGCAGAAAAGGCTTGCAGGTGATGCCCTCATCTACCCTCCAGAGAAAACTTAAATAGACTGAGAGGACTGAGGGTCCCTCAGGGGCTCTTGGGAAGACAAGAGACCATGACAGGTATTGGTAGACCAGAGGACAGTGGAACTGGGCGGTGTCCTGGGGATCCAACACTCTTAGCCTGTAAGCCCTGATATCCTGCCTCCTGATAGCTCTTATGTTTGTCAGCTCCACAAAATCCCAGTGCACATAAACCACTCATGAGCAGATATGAGAAGCAGGCAGCACTGGTTCCTCTGTGGCTTTACTCTTGGGAACTCAGACTGTCCACCAAAAATTATATGGGCCAGTCACCAACCTCCATGGCTGTTCTGGGGAGATGGGCTTGCTCACAGCCATTTCCTGAGGTCTGTGTACTCAGAGGTAGTATAGACACCGAGCAGTGCAGGCCCAGCCTCCTAGATCATCCTTCTCTAGTGTTCTCACCTGTGAAATGGGACGACCATAATGGGAGATATTGAGGGTGGCTCCAACCCTGAGCCTACTTGGGAGATGTACTTGGCAAACCCAAGGAGCATGTCACTGCGCTGGTGACAAGAGGAAGAATGGGTTAACCTTGGTCAGCCGGTCCCTAAACCTCCTTTTTGCACATGGTAGTTACAATATCTATGCAGGATACTCAAGAGCCTGCATGGGCGAACCACACTCACAATAGGCATCCTGGATATGGCTGTCCTTACATGTCCTGGCCCTGTCTACAAGCCTTAGAACTGGGGAACCCTCTCTCCTGCTCTGTGTCCAGGCAGCAATGGCACTTGTGGTTAAGGTGAGTGCCATGGGTGCTGGCCCAGTTACTACCTTCCTTCAAGGACCAGACTGGCATCCACAGAATGTTCCCAGCCCTCTCCACACATCCCCTATGTGGCCCCAGGGTGAGCCACCCCCTCCCCCCTGGTCTAGGCCTGGTGACCTTGTTTGTGTACAACCGTGGGCAAGTGTGAGCAGCACACAGCCCTGCTAGAAAGAGAGACTAGGGTAGACCTTTTCAACCTGAAGTATGTCTCCCTTCTCCTCACTGCTTTCCCGACTATGAATCAAAGACATACCTGGCCTTATTCAAGCTGTGTATTCCATTTCCCTTTAGCCCACGTTGCTGTGGTCTCTTCTGGTGCATCTCTCTGTGTAAACAGCAAAAGCCGAGGACTCCAGGCAGCATGAAAGGCCTTATCTCTGGGGACCTTTGAACATTAGCCCTTGGTGCTATATCCTGAAGCTCCTGCTTCCCCCTAGCCAATACCTGTACTCTATGCCTCTGCCCCCAAACCCCGTAGACAGGTGCCATAGCAGCTCAAAAATGAAGACTCTATACAGGGCTGGCACTCTGTCACCTTCCACAGAAGGTCAGGTCTTGCACCCAGCTTGCTGCTCTGAGCTGGAAACACCACATTGGCATCACTCAAGGGATCTCAAGCTTGCCAGCAGCTGGCCACCCCACATGATTGGCTCCCCTGTTAGGGGCACAAGGAAAACAAATGGTGGCCTACCATTCTTGGTTAACTTGGTTCACCACAGGGAACCAAGGGCCTTTAGAGAAAGGAGAAGCTCTCTCTATTTTCCTTCATCCCTCTTTGTCTTTTTCTGGTGCCTGCTTCTCCTGTCTATGTCTCTCCTTGTGTTTCTGTTTCTCCTTGTCCCTGAGCTGTCTCTGGTTCTCTGTGTCTCTCTGACTCTCATTTCTGTCTCTGATTCTCTGTGTCTCTGTTTCTCATCTCTTTCTATCTCCCCTTGTTTCTTTCCATCTTTCCTTGCCTAGCTGTCTTAGTCTCTTTGTTTTATCCCTTCTCACCTATCTCCCTCATCTTGTCCCTCTCTGCCCCTTTGTGCCTGTCTCCTTGACTTTCTCTGTTTCTGTATCTCTTCCTGTCTGTCAGGTAGGATGATGGTGCCCTGGCTGAAAGAGAGGTGTGGCTGCATCTTGAATGGTGTTCTTCAGCTGGATATTGGGATATCTTGGTGTTCTTCTGTTTCAGGTCCAGTGGCCTGTGCCTGAGACACCTGGGCATGAAGGGCTATGATATGCATGGGACTGTGGTGGGTTCATAGCTTTTTGCTCTGGATCATTCCCAAGGGATGCCTTGAGTCTTAGCAGAACAGAACCCCAGGTCAGGGGCTAGAGGCTCTTAAATGTTGAAGGTTGTCCAGGTCTTGGGCTAGGCCTGCAAACTCCCAATTCAAGGTTACTCCCTATTCTAGGTGCTTAGGCTGTGTCTGCAGCTTGAGCTTTGTCTTCACTGAGCCTCACTGAGGCCTTCAACAGAAAAAGTAGAAACAGTGGCAATTTTCAGCCAAATTTCTCTGCCTGTGTTTTTCCAAAAAGAATGTAATGTTGGGAGTGAACATCTCCCCGAAGCTCCTGCCACCACTTTCCTGTCAGCAGCAGCCCGATGCTGGCTTTCCTACGAGGCATGCATGGAGAGGAAACCTGGCCCCTGTGGAAGCAGTCCTTTCCACAGGGCAGCAGATGTCTCTACTTATTTTAAAACAGTCCCCAGTTACTTAACCTTTTAGTCTGCCTGATGTCGTGGAAGCATCTTTCAGGATAGACCATCTTCTGTTTTGTTCTACCCTGCCACTGACCTACCACTATTTCCAAATGCCGTCACTGCAGCATACTTCAAAGGTTAATTCTTAACAGCTCAAATTTTGAGGCCAAATGTGATAGCTAAAGTGTCTCCACAGGTGAGAGGGAATTGTGAAGGGTAAGTTTGCTGCTTTAGGTATAGAGAGGGCTTCATGTGTTTTCTGTTCTCAGCTTCCATGTGTGAGAAAGACATAGATTGTAAAATGTGCCTCTTGGCTATTTTTAAATGTCTTTGTTCAGTGGCCTTAAGTGCATTCTTAAACAGTCTCACCACGGTTTACCTCTGAGATTCTCATCCTCCCCAACTGAAACTGTTCTCATTATCACCTCCCCATATTCTTCCTGCCCCTGAAACCTCTGTTCTACAGTTTCTATGAATATATTGTATCCAGGGACTTATGTGGAAAACCAGTTGGTATTTTGGTGATTGGCTTTTGCCTAACTCAACAAAAATCTCCATCTCCCTCCATGTGTTAAATCCTACTGTACGGAGGTTTTGGTGCATTCATCCACTCAGTCACCGAATGGTGAACACAGGTGTTAAACCTCGAGGCTCTGCTTTATATTCCCTCCGGCACTTAGAAATGGAATTGCTGGGTAACATGGTGGTTCTGTGTCTATTTTTTTCCAGAAATGACCCTACTATGTTCCATGGTGGTGACAGTATCCTGTTTTCTCACCAACAACATTGATAGTTTTAGTCTCCACTTCTGCCTGAGCTTAAAATTTTCTTCTTTTATAGCGCTCCTCATGGCATTAGGTACCCCACAATTTGGGCTTGAAATTCATGGTCAGTGATGTGAACTCCTTCTCATGTCTTACTAAGACCTGTGTCTCTTCTCTGACTCAACTATTTTGTTTGAGTTTGTCCTCTAAATAGTCTAAGATTTTAATACTTCATCAGACTTGCAGTTTGCAAATATTTTCTCCTAGTCCACAGGTTGTCTTCGCAACTCTGTTGATAGTGGTGTTTCTTTTCTTTTCTTTTCTTTCTTTCTTTCTTAATTTCTTTCTTTCTAGGGTCTCTCAATACAGCTCTGGCTGTTCTGTAACTCACTGTGTAGACCAGGCTGGCCTAAAACTCACAGAGATTCTCCTGTTAGGATTAAAGGCATGTGCCATCATGCTCAGCTTTTTTATTTTTATTTTTTAGATTTACTTAGTTATTATATGTTTACGAGCATTTTGTCTGCATATACCTATATGTATTATGTGTATTTCTGGTGTCCACGGAGGTCAGAAGAAAGGGTCAAATCTACTGTGACTGGAGTTATAGATGGTTGTGAGCCACCACACAGGTGCTAAACTGAAGTACTTTGGTACAAGAGCAGCAAGTTCTCAGCATGCTTTAAGCCATTTCTCTAGTCCTAATATTGTTATGTGGCATACACCATTTAAACTTTTTTTCATTACTATAGCTCTTATAGAAATATAATTAACACACAAGACACCATTTAAGATTGCTTTCTTTTTAAATCATGGGAGAGACGCACTTCCTAATGTTAGGGTTTGTTAGGTCTATAGTACAAAGGGGTTTGCACAGATGAGGGCCATGTGGCCAGTTATTTAAGAGCGTTATTGTACTCATTATACTTTGAGGTAAAGAACATATTCCAGCAAATGGAGCTTCTCCAAGCCAAAGGGTGCTTGCTTATTCTCCAAATTACCCAGCATTACCAGTAAAGAGGTCCCTTCTCACACTGGTATCTGGCAGCTAATCTCAGAGGTTGTGACTCTGTCCCTCCACCTACAAGCTCTGGTCAGTGAGAGGCCTGGAGCCAACTCATCCCCTGTCGGTGAGCATGGTGGCAGTGTCACACGTTTTGTTTGATGACAATATTGTTCAAGCCAGCAGGGAGTGTTTATACAGATGATTACCGAGGCTGTCTCCCTGCTAACAGATCCTTCTAGGACGTGAAGTTTGCTGTGGCTCCACTCACAGCTCTGTTCAAGTACTACAGGGGTGTGGCACCTAATCATTAGAACAAAGGTTTTGAAGTGCTCTTCTCCAGGTGGTGTCCTGGACTATAATGACATGTCCTGTTTCTTCCCATCCAGGGGCCTTCATGATCCCATTCCTCATCCTTCTGGTGCTGGAGGGCATCCCCTTGCTGCACCTGGAGTTTGCCATTGGCCAGCGGCTACGCAAGGGCAGCGTGGGCGTGTGGAGCTCCATTCACCCGGCTCTAAAGGGAGTAGGTGTGTGTCAGTGCTCCCAACTGGGCTGGGGTTTACAGTCTAGTTCCTCCCCTTACCTTTCCCAATCAGTGCCAGGCTAATGTTCTTTCAGACACCCTCGGGAGCCTTCATTAGAATCCAGGCATGTGTGGGTTGCAGCAGCTAGGCCAGGCTACTCATGGTCATCAGGGAACAGACAGGCCAGCAGAGGTCGCCCAAATCCCCACAACCCAGGGCACAGGAAGATCTCGATGCTGGGGGAGAGCATTTAAACCCCACCTTCCTAGAACAAAAACCTCCAGAGCCAGAAGGGGGAGCTGCCTGCCTGCTCTGTACACTCCTACACACTCAGCAAGGACACCCAGTACTGCCCCCAGCCCAGGTATGGTCACTCATTTACAAACCCTGGCTTCGAGATGGTCCTACCTCCAACCTCATTAAGAGGACATGGCTCACTGAGAGCTCAGAATGCAGGTAAGCCGTGTGGGCTCTCCAGCCAGGGTACAGTCCATGGGCAGAGAGTTCAGATGTTGGACAGCCCAAAGCCCACAGAGTGGCCTCTCCTTGATGCCAAGCCTTTCCTGCCCTGTTGCCCCACCCCTGACTCTCTGGCTCTTCTCTCTCCTCCTCCTCTCTCTTTTCACACACATTTGGTTTTTAGTTTCACAATCAAAAAAAGCAAGTCATGAAACTCCTTACAGGTTAACCTGTTGTCCCCAGATACTGAGCTCACTACAATCTCTGCCTCTTTCACTACTTCTTGGCAGAGATTTTCCTGAGTCTACCCACCTGTCTTTGGCTTGGGACTTGCCAAGTAGGTCTCCCTGAGGCAGAGCCAACGCCCACTGAGGTTATCAAAAAGGCTCTTTGCAAGGGTTCCGTGACTGCTTGCCTGGGCTATAAGTGGAACAGGTGAGGGTGTAGAGTGCTGGGACCTTCAGCTCAGCCTGAAAGAATCAGGCGATCATACAAGTGGTATCCCACTTCTAGGTCCAGGCTGCATCTGCAGGCTGGCAGGCAGGCCCCTCCTGGTGTCCTCCTGTCTCCGTGGGATGGGACAGCATAGGCTGGGTACCCATGCACTCACTTGCTAGAGATGGCTGTACGCGTTCCACAGTGGATCCCTCCCCACAGGAATCGCCTCCATGTTCGTGTCCTTCATGGTGGGCCTGTACTACAACACCATCATCGCCTGGGTCATGTGGTATTTCTTCAACTCCTTCCAGGAACCTCTGCCATGGAGTGAATGTCCACTCAATGTGAACCAGACAGGTGAGCCCTTGGCTTTATGCGGGGGAATGTCGATGCCACCTGCCCTCTCTCTGTCTGATGGGATATAGCTTGTAGGAGGGTAGAAGAAATGGTTGCTGGTGCATTCTTAGACAGACAGTCGTATTTTGCGACCAGATACGCACCCCACTTTCTAAGAATTGGATGCTTAGAGACAAGGGTTAGCAAAAGGTAAAAACATCTTTAAGGCAATAGAACATTAAAAAATTTATGTTGTATGGGCTAGAGAGAGAGCATAGTCAGTTTAAAGTGTTTATGATAAAAGCACGAGGATCAGAGTTCAATCCCCAGCACCCCCATAAAAAGCCAAACAGGTGTCACCTCTAATCAGTGAGTTTGGAAAGCAGAGACAGGAAGACCCTAAGGCCTTGCTGGCCATCCAGCCTAGCCTAGTTGGTAAGCCCAGGTCCCAGTGGGAAACCCTGCTTCAAAAATAAGATGGAAGCCAAGTGTGTTGTAATCCTAGCACTCAGGGAGGCAAAGGCAGACAAATCTCTGAGTTCAAGGCTATCCTGGTCTAAAAAGCAAGTTCAGGACAACCAGTGCTAGTGATACTAGAGGGTACAGATCCTTGGTAGGAGACTTTTTGCTTCCTTCCCCTGTGCTCCTGGGGTCTCTTCACAAAGAGACCACTCTGCCACAGGTGTCCTTTGTCACCCCCTGCCTATTGCTGTCCTGACTACCACAGAGTAGCTCTGAAGGCTTCACATGAACCTTCAGGAGCTCATCAAGATGGGCCCCTTTTGGCCAAAGGACAAGTCCTCCCCAGTAGGAGAGCCCCAGTTGATTCTTTGAGGAAGAAGTGCCCCTGGAAGCGGGATAATGTGGAGTTGGGCTGTAATGAGCATGGCCATAGCCATAGTCCCAAAGACCCAAGGTCACCTTCTGCTCCAGCGGTAATAGGGAGTTTCTTCCAGGAGTCAGGGAGGCCTGGACCCACATCAGAGCCCAACACCCTCTCTTAGCAGGCTTCACATAAGGGCATTTATGCACAAGCAGTTGTGAACATACATCCGTATCAGAGTGTGTGGTGTGTGGATACAGATGGGTGGGGATGTTCATGAGTGCCCGTGTGTGTAGGTGAGGCTATATTCACGTGTGCAAGTGTATTCCTTGAATGCCTCAGACCCTGGCTAGGTTTCCTCCACTTTCTGTTCACATCGCCATTTCTCCTGGCTTATTTCTAGCTTGTCCCCAGTTTGACCCACACCTTGATGTGTGCTCATCTGCTTCTGCAGGCTACGTGGAAGAATGTGCCAAGAGCTCCTCTGTGGACTACTTCTGGTACCGAGAGACTCTCAACATCTCCACTTCCATCAGTGACTCAGGCTCCATCCAGTGGTGGATCCTGCTCTGCCTGACATGTGCCTGGAGTGTGCTGTACGTGTGTGTTATCCGTGGCATCGAGACCACCGGGAAGGTGCAGTACCCAGCTGAGCACGCTGATCCTGAATTAGCCCCCTTTCCTTGTCTGACCTCTGCACCCATCCCACACTGGGTCTTCCCCCGCTTCCTTCCTCACAGGCTGTGTACATCACCTCCACCCTGCCCTACATTGTGCTGACCATCTTTCTCATCCGAGGCTTGACCCTGAAGGGTGCCACCAATGGCATTGTCTTCCTGTTCACACCCAATGTGAGTCTCTGCCATCTACCAGCTGACTACCCTAGGGCTTCAGATTCTATGGAAGAAGTCCATGCTGAATTCTCTTGGCTTCAAGAGCAGCTTGCTTCTATACGATGACACCCACCCTGGTTGAGAAGGGCCTGGCAAGGGGTCAGCCTGTTCATGGGCCTTTAACATATGTATCCTGGATGGGGACCGTTGGGTGGCTTGCCCTTGCTCCTCTGTGTAGAATGGCATCCATTGTTGGGGGAGGAGCTAGCTTCTTCCTTGGTGGAGGGGAGGCTGGCTTCCTGTAATCATAGCTGAGTCCCTGTATGACAGATCACGGAGCTGACCAACCCCAACACATGGCTGGATGCAGGCGCTCAGGTCTTCTACTCCTTCTCATTGGCCTTTGGGGGGCTCATCTCCTTCTCCAGCTACAATTCTGTGCAGTGAGTATGGTGTTGGAGGGAGGGCTCTCAGGGATAGGAGCTGTGGGACCACTAGCAGCACCTTGGTTCTGGAGTCTCAGTTTCCCTGTCAGACCATGTGGAGTTGTGCTGTGCGGTTAAGAAGGAGAAGAAGGAGGGTGCTTTCAAAAGCACAGTGCACAGCAACAGTGTTGGTCAGTGTGACTCAGCAGCTACCCTCTGACCAGTCCTGTCTAAACCCAGAACAGAGCTGGCAGAAAAAGCAGGCACAGGCTTTGAGAAGATCCCCCCTTGCTGGGTCCCCTGATACTCTCTGCAGCTTGGTCTAGTATGCTTCCTTCTCCACTCCCAACTTCATGGCCACATGGTTCCCAATCTACCTCAGAACTCCAGGCCCCAGGTATGTTGTGTCCCCAGAGCCCATCTGGGACCCAGGTCAGATCCTAAAGGCTGTGACCCTGCCAGCTTTAGACATGCACCTCTTCCTGATACCTTCTGAAAAGGTCCTAAGCTTTGAAGAACTCCCATCAACATCCAGGGAGAATAAAGGTGGTATTTATTGTATTCGGCAAAGGCTTAGGGAGCACCAGCTAGGCTTGGTGCAACCAGACCTGTCCTCTGTGATCAGTGGTGGGTCAGGGAAAAGCAGTGGGATCTAATGGCAGAGGGAGAAAGACAGGGAGTGGGTAGAGGCTCCTGCTAGAACAAACAGAACTTCACAGATTCAGGATAGGAAAGCCATGGAGAGACAGCAGACAGGGCCAGAGCACAGGCAGGGCTGACAGTGTGGGTATGCCTGCCCTGGGAGGTGTGGTCTGCAATAGTTATGACACTGGGAGAAGTCTGTCCTTGGAGGACATGGTCTGTGGCTCCTGTGGTCTGGGAGGGCAGGCCCTTCTGAGGATGTGCTGGAGTTGGGTGGATGGGTAGGTGTTCCGTCTGGACCATGGCCTTTTTGTCACTGGATCATGGGTCTCAGGCTTCAGAAAGCCTCCTCTGGTGCCATGGAGAATGTTCTAGAAGAAACCCTGGAAGTGCCACTGCAGGTGGAGCCCAAATGGAGCTGTGGGTGAATTGTTTTTATGACAGGTTTATTCAGAGAATTTGTGTTCTGTAAGATCGTCTACATAGGCAACATGGGTTCATCCACATGAGTCCAGTGGCTGTGGTATGTTCACAAGGTTGTGCACACATCACCTCTATCTATTTCTAGAAGGTTCTCATGAGTAGGTGCTTCTGAACTCCCAGGTCCACTGGTAGTATTTCCCTGCTTCTGTCTCTGCTTTGTCTGGTGAGAATTTCCTGTGGATAAATTGGTGGCTTGGAGTCTTTGGCAGCTGATTATTCTCTGACCCTATGCTTCCCTTGTGTAGAGTGTGTTGGTGTCACAGTCCTGTGTATCTGGCTGGCCACCTGCTGTGCGGGCAGCCTACCCACCTGCTGCTGGTGCTTACCCACCCACCAAGCAGGCACTTTGGCTGCTTCCACTTCTATAATTGTGAGTGGTGCTTGTGGCACGTGTGCTCTTGCACATACCTGGGAGGAAGCCTGGCGTCAATCCACTCATTCCGCTCTGCCAGGCCGTGATCAGCCATCTACGGACCCAGCAGGCTGCCCTCCCCAGCACTGCACACTATGAGCGCCCTCCAGCTGTGCTCGGTGGCCCATTTCTCTTGTCAACTTTTGGGATTATCTGTGGCATGGTGGTGTGCTGCAGATTGATACCCACTTTTCTGATGGCTTGAGCACTCTGCTTTTGACCCACCATGGGGCAGCACGATGACAGCTGTGTTGAGGGTTGGGTTTGGAAGGCTGAATCAGAAAATCAGGGTATGCTCAAGATGTGCTGAGTGTCTCCAGATGGGACTCATGGGCTTCCAACAAGAAGTCAGGTCACAGAGGGGTCTAGATCACAGAGGGCTGAGGACGAGTAACGACCAAACCCTTGGGTTAGCCCCTGAGCTGTGGCCACATCTGCCATGCCCAAGAGTCATGAACACACAGACCTGTGCTGCCTCAGTACATAAACCTGGGTCTCTTGGCTAGTCAGAAATACAGCTGGGTCCTGACCCTAGAACATTGCACCCTGTGCTGTGGGGAACATTCATCCATCTGAGGGGCATAGACACTGCAAGGTCACATGGCTAGATGGCCTTCTCCTGCTCCAAATGCCAGCCAAGTCCCATCTGGAAAATTCTAGAATCTCTTTTCCTCCTATTTACTTCAGGCAGGTAGCCTACCCCTCCCTGTGGTCCTTCCAGCCATTGAGGCTATAAACTGAATTACTTTTACAAATAGTAATTTATAATTGCTCTCATAAACAAAATCCAATGGCACAAATAAGTAAAGCTCCATCTTTAGAGAGGCCTGGGTTGAGAGAGAGGTTTCCAGCAGTAGAGAACCCGGCTTGGAATTCTTCTCTAGCCCGTGGGGGCACCTGGAAGTGAAAGGTCAAGGTCAAGGGTCCCTTCTGTGAGGCTGACTTCCGAGGCCTAAGGTGGGGTTCTAGGAATCTCCAGCTCTCGGCATCCTGGGCTTTCGGAGGGTTACCATTGCTGTGGTCTGTATGGGGGGGACTGGAAGACGGTAAAGAAGACAGCAGTTTGGTTCAGAGTCAGGACACGGCACTCTGGTCACCTTGAGTGCTCAGTGCCCACATGTGTCCAGATGACAGGACCTGCGTTTCCCTACATCACTTTAGTCTTTCACTTATTGATGAGCACTCAGGAGCCCAGTCTTAGACTTGGACACACTGGTTCTGCTGTGCTGCATGCTGACTTTCAGCCATAGGGGGTGGGAGTGGGGGGTAGGAGGGAGCGGAGGAAGGAGGGTGGGGTGAGAAGTGGGTGGGGGTGGGGCATATGTCCTCATCTGTGTATCACCTATGTTGTCCCGGGGTGACACTCCTCTCGTCCTCAGCAATAATTGTGAGATGGACTCTGTAATCGTGTCCATCATCAATGGCTTCACGTCTGTGTATGCAGCCACCGTGGTCTACTCCATCATCGGCTTCCGAGCCACTCAACGCTTTGATGACTGTGTCAACATGTGAGTTGCCATCCTAGACTTTGGGCTGTGCTCAGAGGAGATGCACATGAGGCCCGCTCCTCTTTGCCCAACCCTTGTGAGTTCAGTCTTTGGGCAGTCCCACCTAGAGCACACAGCAGCCCTTTTCATCCCTTCCAGGAACATCCTGACTCTCATTAATGGGTTTGACCTCCCTGAGGGCAATGTGACTGCAGAGAACTTTGAGGCCTTTCAACAGTGGTGCAATGCCACCAATCCCGAGGCCTATGCACAGCTGAAGTTCCAGACCTGTAACATGAACAGCTTCCTTTCTGAGGTAGGTGCGGCGACCTCCATGCCCTCAGGGGCCCATGTACTGGCAGGGTCCCATGTGTGGGTTAGGGGAAGATATCCTCTCTTGGGCTTTGTGAGTCGTACATAGGGGCTTTGCACAGTCAGCATCTTACCCTTCAGGAGTGGCAGGTGGAGGAAGCCACCGTTCACCTGTCATGACTCTCCTCACTTGACTCCTCCACCTCTCAAATCAATTATACAAAACCCCCTGTTCCTCCCTCAACCCCTCCCATGCTCCTCCTCACTCCTCAGACTCATGACTCCTTTTTCTTTGCTTGTTATTGCCATACATATATGTATATGCATACCTGTATTAATACAACCTGCTGAGTCCATTTATTGTAGCTTGTATGTATATTACCTCAGGATTGATCACTTGGCATTGGATGACCAAGTAAGGAGCTTATCTTTGGGGAATTCTAATTCTCCTGCTCCCAGCATTCCTTAGTTGCCTGTAGTTCTTTGTTTAGGGGCGCCTGCTCTTTTCCCTCTCCCCTTAGTGAGATTTGGATGTCTCATTAGCATGTCTATTGGTGTTATTCTTGTTCAGGTCTTGTTTAGGCAGGTGTTGTAAACTTGAGAAGTTATGAGTGTTGCATACTTGTCATAAAAGACACAACAGTGCAGCTGTTTTCCTGATCAGTGGGCTCTTACAGTCTTTCTTCCTCCTCTTTCATCATGTTCCCTGGACCTTAGGTCAAGAGTTGTGTTGTAGATGCAACCACTGGGGATGGGCACCCTAAGATCAGTTGTTCTCTATATTTTGACCTATTGTTTTCTGTTATAGTCTCTAGCTGGTGCAAAGAGAAGTTTCATTGATGAGGGGTAAGAACTACACTTGTCTGTGGGTATAGGATAGGTATTTAGCATTCAGCTAGGAATTATGCTGGTTTAGTAAAGTAGCACAGGCTCTTCTTTTAAATATGTGACCTCACTCTTTCAGGGAGCTGGCTTGGTCCAGGGCCAGGCATGATTTCCATCCCTTTGAGTGGGCTCTAAGTTAAACTTAAACAGCTGTTGGTTAATGCCAAGTTATGAACGCCACCATTGAACCTTTAAGGATCATTGTTGTGGTTCACAGATTAGGAGGACTATTGTTTGTTTTCCTCCCTTGGTAGCTTGCTCAATACCTTCGGTACTATGAAAGCTGCTCCTTGGGGAGGAGGTTTTCAGGTCATATACAGCTAGATTTCTCAGAGTCTTATGTCCAAAGTGCATAGTGCCTTAGCAATAGGGACTTAACCTTCAGTCTCTGGGGAAGCAATTAAGGGCAACAGCAACAAATGACAGGAGAAGGAGGAGAGTAACAGAAAGCTTAGATGACCTTGTGCATTGGTACAGGGTGTGGAGGGCACGGGCCTGGCCTTTATTGTCTTCACGGAAGCCATCACGAAGATGCCAGTGTCCCCACTGTGGTCGGTGCTCTTCTTTGTCATGCTCTTCTGCCTGGGCCTCTCATCCATGTTTGGGAACATGGAGGGTGTGGTTGTACCCCTTAATGACCTCCATCTCATTCCTAAAAAGTGGCCCAAAGAACTGATTACAGGTATGTATGAAGCCTACTATTTAAGGGAGATCTGATTGTGTTCCTCGTGACAATGGTGGGTGCAGCCCTGGGTTGAAACCTTGTAGCCACTCTGTTCCCTGTCTGGCCACAGGCCTCATCTGCTTGGGGACATACCTCATCGCCTTCATTTTCACACTGAATTCGGGCCAGTACTGGCTCTCCCTCCTGGACAGCTATGCTGGCTCCATCCCTCTGCTAATCATCGCCTTTTGTGAGATGTTTGCTGTCGTCTACGTGTATGGAGTGGACAGGTAGGAGGAGTAGCTCTGTGGCAACAGGCCATCTTCAGCAGAACAGCTGAGTCACAGAATCCCTGCTAAGCTGAGCCGGCTAAGCAGGGATAAGGGAGTCAGGCATGCCATGGCACAAAGCCTTCACTATTGTGCAAGTGAGTTTAGACTTCCTTCATAGGAGCTAGTGGGCTGGCAGTGGCTTAGTCCTGGCACTTGGTCCAAAAGGTAGAGAGAGGCCAGGAATGAAGTGTTGGCCTTGCTGAAGTGGCACCTCCTTTCTTATTAGTAGTGGTGTAAACAGGCCCTGCTAACTGCCCAACCATATATATATAATCTAACTTTAAACATAACCTGCAGTCTGGGGTCTCAAAAGCAGCCATAGGTCTAGAACAAAAGTAGGGAGAGGTGGGAGGTGAGAAAGGAGGCATGCAAGACACCAGGACTCAGGCTTTGTAGGGCATAGACCTCACATGTCCTGAAGCAGGATGATGCTCAGAGCTCTTCATTCACTTGGGGTCTACATCAGGGGTGCTTCTGGAGTTAGGCAAAGGCCCTTCTGGGGAGAAGCAGGCTTGAGCAGCTAGCTAGAACTCAAGCACAGAAAGGCACAGAGGGCCGCCATTAAGGGCCACCTCCCACTGTCTGCTTGACCCAACATCTCAAGGCATTATTACCAGTGCTTGGCAGAAACCCAGCAAGTTACACTTTCAGGAGAAGCTATCTTATGACCACTCTAGAATGGCCTGCCAGTCTCCATTAAAATTAAGTTGGTATAAGCCCTTTGCTGGAGCCCTGTTCTTAAAAACCCTCTCTCAGTCACTGAAAAAACCAAAGTCCCTAGGGGACATGGACAGGATTAGGTCAGCATGAGTGGGGACCAGATTCTAACAGCCTGAGGAAGCAACTCGAAAGCTGAGGAGCACAGGGCCAGCTGTGTGGTTTTGTGGTGTTAGGAGGCATCAACAATGGATGCAGCAACTGACCTGGGGCGGCTGCAGCTAGCACCTGCACAATGGGCTGATCCCCAGGCCACTGCGAGTAATACGACCCAAGGATGTGAGGAAGGCAGTCACCAGACTAGATAGGCTCAATGGCCCGGTCTCTCAAAGGTCCTCACAGAACCTGCCTTTGTCCTGTTGTCGGCTGGGGCTCTGGATAGGTTGCCAGTTTATTCTGTATGTCTCATTCTGATCACAAGGAATCCCTGTGTGCGGAAAGGAATTCTTCTCCAGAGCTGCCTTTGAGCAGGTTAGAAATGGTGCACACCATCCCCCATTTAATGGGGACCTTAAATACCGCTTTAGGGCGGTGCTGCTCACACAGGGGCTGCCGAAGCGTCTGTGCATTGGAAGGAAGAAAGTCCTGGCTGCCCTCATTGTTGCATGATAGGAAGTGGGTGAGGGTATGAGACCTCTGATGAGCAACTCATAGCACAGTGTTGAGGGGTTCCACGAGGCTTCGATGGCAGCTGCTGACAGTGACAACCTGGAACCCCTCTCTGAAAGTCAGAGACCTATAGGGGGAAGGCAGCTAAGGCCCAGCATCCCAAGATGAAAAACCACTTTCAGATATAGAGAACTGACACCATTAGCCTTCTTGAGCTGCCAGTGACACTGCCCTCTGCCCTCTGCCACAGGTTCAACAAGGACATTGAGTTTATGATCGGCCACAAGCCCAACATCTTCTGGCAAGTCACATGGAGAGTGGTCAGCCCACTGATCATGCTGGTCATCTTCCTCTTCTTTTTCGTGATTGAGGTCAACAAAAAGCTCATGTATAGCGTCTGGGACCCTGACTATGTGAGTGCCCAGGCAGTGGTTGGGTGGAGAGGGAGGAGGCCTGAGGGGGAAGGAGGCAGAAAGTGGGGCCTGGGTAGGAGGGCTCTACTCCAAGAAACGGAAGGTAAGGTAATGGCGTTTGTAGGCCTCTCTGCCGTGTGTTACCTGTGGCTCTCTTCTCAGGAGGAGTTCCCCAAATCGCAGAAGGTCCTATACCCTGGCTGGGTGTATGCAGTGGTGGTCATTGTGGCTGGGGTTCCCTGCCTCACCATCCCAGGCTTTGCCATCTACAAGCTCATCAGAAACCGTTGCCGGAAGTCTGGTGACCACCATGGGCTGGTCAGTACACTGTCCACAGCCTCTGTGAATGGGGACCTTAAATACTGAATGGCCTAGCCTGCATGAGGCCCAAGATGGTGTCTGGAGGAGGCACGAGACAGAGCGATTGGGGGAAGTGGGCTGTGGTATGTGTGACTATGTGAGTATATATACATGTATTCATATGTCAAACAGATGTGTACACAAGCGTTTCACAAACATGTGGGCACATAGGCATATTTATGTGTATGTGTAGATGCATAATTATATATGTGGTACATGCATGTGTAAGTGTGTATATGTGTAAGCGGGAAGCTGTGTATGCATGCTATGCCTATCTTCATGCATACATACCTGGGAGTTGCCTGTATATTTGTGTACATGTGTGTATGCACATGTATATTCTCTGGATGTAGTTATGCTCATGTGTTAACATGTGTGTATACATATATTCACACATGTGCACCTATAGGTTTGTGTATATGACTGTATGAAGATGCACTCATAAACCTATGTACATGTGTGTATTTTCACGCTTGAACTTTGTGTATTATATGTGTATGTGCAAGCACATGTGCACTTGTGTTTGTGCATTGCATAACATACAGGAATGTGCACATGCCTATGCTATCTTTGTGCGCATGGCACACATGTGAAAGTGTTTTTTCATGCTCTTGATGGAAGTGTCTATCACTTTGGTCTGGTTGCCCCTGCTTGCCCTCACTGTGGGGCAGGGCCTACTTGGTGACAGACATGGCTGAGGACCCACCTACCCTGCAAGCTCCTGGCAGAGAGCCAAAAGTGAAGATGTGGAGACCCCAGGCTGGCCTCCTTCCCTCTGAGTGGAAGGTAGAAGTGAGGCCCTGCTGCTGGGCATGTTGTCACTACCCACTCCCAGTGTCCCTCTGCCCCTTGCTGTGAGTGGCCTTTGCTGGACCAAGCCCCTGAGTTAAAAATCTGGGCCCTCCTGCTCCTTAAGGAGAGGCACCGGAAGCTGATGGACTGCCAAGGCTGAGAAGGCTCCTCTCAGTCAGACCTGATACACCCTTGCTTCCTGCATGCCTGCTTAATCATTGGTCACAGAACAGGCTGCAGAGCAGCCACGCTGCCCTTCCCTTCTCTGCTGAGGCAGGGGCCACTCCGTGCACTTCTGAAGAGGGCATGAGCCCGTAAATCTTTAGCTAAATGTTGGAAAAGGAGGGTTACAGGGTAACTCAGCTGTGGCCACTGCTGTTGAGAACACTCCAAGAGCTCTGGCACCCCAGTGACTGAGAAGTTTTCAGTCCTGTGGCAGTCTGTCAATAAAGCCAGGGAGGGCTATGTCTGCCTCTCCCCTCCCCAACAGGCCAGTTGTTTCTGGGTTCACACCCACCCACCCTCCCTCAGCCACAGGTCCTTGGGACTTGGGATGTTTGTTACAACAAGCTCCTGCCCTCCTCTTTCCACAAAAAAGCCCAAATTTAAGTCAAATTGTACTTTCTGAAAATTCTCACAAGGGTGAGAAACCATAGTGGGCCCTGATGTCAGTTCTGTTCTTCCCACAGGGCCACACCAGCCTCTCTTCACCCACCACCAGCTGTAGCTCCCATTGTTAAAACATGGAGTCCTCTTACAGGCACCTTTTATACACGCTGACCACCTGGGTACCATGACCTAAAGAACCATTCAGAGGCATAGGAGGGTGGTTGGCGCTGGAGCAATATGAAGGTTCTCACACTAGTAGTTTCGGTGGGTCCCACCTCTGAAGGCTCAGCTGGAGGCCCTGTTGTGTGCCTACTGGGGATTCCTTTCCTGCGTGGTCTGACTGGAGGCCAAGCAAATTCTCTGCTATCTCTGGCCCATGCCTTGTGTTTAGGCCTTTAAGGTTTCTGTAAGTGTGACAGGAACCCAGGTTGGCTAATGGGTCTGAAACACATCTTTCTCAATAAAGTGCTCCTATTTAATGTTCTTGGATTAAGAGTCATTGCTTAGGCATACATAGAAGGGCGAGCAGGGCCCATGGCAGGACCGAGAACTTGCAGGGATGATATGGTCAGCAAATCCAGCCCTACCCCTCAGACAGCTCTGGATTGGAGGATTTCTTTGAAGAGGTTACCACAGCCCAGAGAGACAGACTGAGACTGCACTGGGGCAGTGACAGAGTTGTCTTATACACTCTGTTACCTACTGGCAGTTGACCAGCAGGCCTTTGGACTTGGGACATGGGGGCTGCATGGGAATGAGGTCAGCTGGAAACAGAGGTGGTGAGATAGAGGAAGCAGGAGAGAGAATGACAGAAACATGCCCAGCATGTGGGACATCAAAGGGGTATCTCACTACCCCCTCCCTACCCTCCTCCATACACTCCTCCCTACCCTCCTCCCTACCCTCTTCCCTACCCTCCACTTCCCTCCATTTCTTGTCTCCTCCCAGACTTTTACTCACTTTAGCCTCATGTTCAAAATAGAATCTCCTGTAAATGTATCTCCCAGAGCAGGCTTCTGTATCTACATATTTGGGATTGTGGCTGCATAGTTGACAGAGCAGTATGCTGGAAGATTACAGGCTCCAAAGGCTTAGGATGCCCTTAGCCTGTCCCAAGGGAGGAGTCTCAGAATCTGGGAGCATCAGCAACATGGAAGCATCACTCTGTCCTTCCTAGCCGCTTCAGACAACAGTGGGGTCACTAGTGCAGAGACGGAGGTGAGAAGAAGCCCTCAAGTCCCTGCACACGAGGAAGAAGCTTCCTGTGCCTGCCCCTCAAAACTCTTGTTCATAGAGGGCTGTGGGCCATACACAGCCAGCGGCTTCTGGGCTGGGCCAAGTGTCTGGTGCAGGTGCAGGCTGGGGGTGCAGGTATGGTTTTACTCAAAACATGGATGTTTAGAACTAGCCCAAAATAACCCACAGACAGATGCCTGAAAAGTAAGGTATGCTTGAAGACCTAGCATGTGGAGGCCCCTCCTGACTTCATGGCCCAGGGAACTAAAGACCATGTCCAACATCCACCCAGAGCCAAGGTCAGCTCCTCACAGAAGCTGCACCTGTGAGTGCCCGACAGAACTGTGCAGTGCCTGCGGTGTGGTTTGGATAGCAGTGTGCACCCTGGACAGCACATACTTCTCGGTAAGAGAACCCAAAGAACTCCAGGCTGTACTGGGCAAAGGAAGCAGGTATAGGCTGTGTGTCCAAAGTCCACGCACAGAACCTTCATGAGACAAGACTGCAGGCAGCTGGGGTTTCTGGGGCCACTGGGGTGAGCAATGTAGAAAGAGCAGTAGGTGGCCTGGCACAATGTTTCAGGCCGTAGCACCCCTGGCTACATACTACTGTGAGCCTCAAGGAATTACCCTGGAGGAAGAAAACAGGTTAGGGGCTGTCTCCTATGGAAAGTGAGCATGTATTACTTACACCACAGGCTTAGTTACAGAATGAATAGGCTTTAGCGGCCAACTGAACCTGCCATTCTGGGAGCCTGGCCTCTATTGAATGCGCTGCTGGCAGGCTCTGCTGCTCACTGATCACATGGTACAGAAAACTTCAGGTCGGCCGCTAGATGCGGGTGTTGAAGACGGACTCTGCAGTAGTCAGGAACTTGCTGCCAGTTATCAATTAACTGGGCTCTTTTAAATAAATGGAGGGTCTGAGAGCTCCAGCCTCCTCAGTCCAGCAGAGATTCCAGAGGGCCTTCCGGACCAGCGTGTTGCAAGGTGCCCACTGTACATCCTCCCCTCCCAGTCATACCCGGGGCAGCTGCTCAGCATGGCACAGGCTTCGGGGATGGACCCACTTGTGGACATGGAGGATGAGAGGCCCAAGTGGGACAACAAACTCCAGTATCTCCTGAGCTGCATCGGCTTTGCTGTGGGGCTGGGTAACATATGGAGGTTCCCCTACCTGTGCCAGACCTACGGGGGAGGTAAGCTGCCTGCTTCATACCTGCCCTCTTTCCAGCTTTTCCTGCCCCTGTGTGGCAGGGAACTATAATTTGCTCTTGTTCAAATTTGCTCTTGTCCAAAGAACAGCCTTTGGTTGCAAAAACACGGGGAGCATCGTTCTCAGGGGTCCATGGTTCTAAGCTCATTCTGCTTTCTCAGCAGCAGACAAGGATGTGAGCTTGTGGGCCTGGCTGCTCTGAGAAGCAAGACAGAGAAAGCTGTGGTGTAGGAGTGTGTGGGTGTGTGGACAGAGCAGACCTACTTCTTGGCCCATGAGCAGATAGAAGAACAGAGAGAGCCATCCCATCTGATAAGATAGTGCTACCTTAAGTGACACCTTCTTTCTTTCACCATTCGTAGTGTGCTGGGCCTTTTAAAATTCAGATAAACAGGACTAAGGAGAGGATAGTGGGGCTTCTGTCAATTCACAGGGCTGGGATAGGGCAAGGCACCTTGGCCTTGAATCTCCTCCCTATAAAACAGGCCTGTCAGAGTGATGTCATTTGGAAGCTGAGACAGAATTCCATTAACAGCCTGGAAGGTAGACTACATTGTAGACTATATTGGATGTGTGTGTGTGTGTGTGTGTGTGTGTGTGTGTGTGTGTGTGTGTGTGTGCAGGCCAGAGGCAACCTCAGCTGTTGTTTCTTCTATCTTATTTTTTGATATACTATCTCTAAGTGACCTAGAATTTGCCAAGTAGGCACTGGCTGGCTGTCCAGCAAACTGCAGAGATCTACCTATCTCTCTCTTCCCAGAGCTGAAATTATGAGTGTGCATATGATCACGGCCAGGCTTTTTACATGGATCCTGGGAATCGAACTCAGATCCTCATGCTTGCAAGGCAAACACTTTAACCACTAGGTTGTATGCTCAACCTACAAGATACTTCTTTTAAAAAAGCACAACAAAGTCTGGAAGGGATCTGCATGTCCCTCCTGAGGCCTCTGCTGCCCCTCTTTCTTGTAATGTTGCCAAAAATGCATGCTGGGAACATAGCAGTACATTTAAGCTGTTGTAAACACTACCTAAATGTGTTATTTCGTTAATCACACTGATCTGCTGCAGGCATCTGGGAGCTATCTGCCCCTGTGTCTTTGCAGGGGCCTTCCTCATCCCCTATCTCATCGCCCTGGTCTTTGAGGGGATCCCGCTTTTCTACATTGAGCTTGCCATAGGCCAGCGCCTACGAAGGGGCAGCATTGGGGTGTGGAAGACCATCTCTCCCTACCTTGGCGGTGTAGGTATGCCTCCTCACCAGGCCACACCACGGAAGGGGAGGGGTCCGTTTATTCTCCACATGGTCCTAGGTGTACTACCACATCTGCAGGCCTGGGCTGCTTCTCAGTGTCCTTCCTGGTCAGCCTGTATTACAACACCGTTCTCCTGTGGGTCCTATGGTTCTTCCTCAACTCCTTCCAACACCCGCTGCCTTGGAGCACATGCCCGCTGGATCTCAACAGAACAGGTGAGAACCCACCCGGGGCTTGGAGGGTCCATGTGTGGCACTGGGATAGGTGCAGGGGGAGCTACAAAGCACACACCAGCCCTTCACCTCTGCTCTTGGCCTCTGCTGAGCACAGAACCATCCAGACAGACCTGTTTACAGAGGCACCTACTCTTCTGCAGAGTTCTTCATCTTAGCCTCGAGCCCAAAAAGGAACAAGAAAGGGCCCCTGGGAGATAAGTCAGTTGGAAAGGTCCATGTCTCACAAGCGTGAGCATCTGAGTTTGATTCCTAACTCATGCTGTATATTGTAATGCATGCTTATAATCCTGGTATTGGGGAGGGCTCACTGGCCAGGCAACCTAGCCTAATTGGTGAATATCAGGCCAATGAAAGACCCTGTCTCAAAGAACATGGACATTCTTAGATGTCTTGCCCTCCATGCACACATGTTCACACGCTACAGTCACACATACACGTATATCCATATACATAATACATACATACATATATGCATATATGCACACACATTCACACAAGGGGCTCCTAAGCCCAAGAGGGAGGCAGTAAAAACAGCCTACGGGCAGCTTGAGTGATGGGTCGGCTCTGAAGGGCCTGCCATGCTGGCACCTGTAGTTCTTGGCTAATACTTGGGTTGTGACATGGATAGCCCAAGCCCTGGGCTTGCCAGTGACAGCGCTCTTGGCTCCAGGATTTGTGCAGGAATGCCAGGGCAGTGGCACTGTGAACTACTTCTGGTACCGGCGGACTCTGAATATCACATCTGACATCAGCAACCCAGGCACTGTCCAGTGGAAGCTGTTCCTCTGCCTGGTGGCTTGCTGGGCAACTGTGTACCTGTGTGTCATCAGAGGCATTGAGAGTTCAGGGAAGGTGAGCCGCACCACCTCACACTGAGCATGAGGACCCTTGTGCTAGAGACCCATGTGCTTTCTGGAACTGACCCCTCTGTGGCCACTCAGTGCTTCCTTTTCCTGGTCCTGCCTGCCCAGGAACTTACCTTTACCTGGTGGGGATTGGCTTTCTTCTGTGTGTTTACACGGCATGCCACCCTCCTCTGTGTGCATATGTTGAATGTGTGCTATTGTGTCTCTTTCATCCCACTCCGACCACTTTCTTTTTGCCTTACTGACATATTTAGACCACTCACACCAATGCATGAGACTGGGACTAACTCTTCCATCAGTTTGTCTTCTGTGAGACCCAACAAAACCACTGTTTCTGTTGCTCTTTCTTTAGGAAGTTGCTTCCCCCTTGTCCTCCTTGGATGGCTACAGAGCTGCCATTCTTATCCTGCTCCTGTTCATTGCCAGTTAGCCCAAATATCCTGTATCTTTAAGAACCTCTTCCTGTTTCTGTCTCCCTCTTCTTCCTCCTGGCTTGGCACTGCTTTTGCTTTTAAAGTGTTAACAGCACAAGCATTGTCTAGTGCTGCTATAAAGAGGTGATTATCTATCAGAGACAGAGAACAGAGGTACTAATGTGAAAATGGAGGTACACGTGATGTTTGGCTGTGATCCCAAATCATGAGCCTGACCTTGCCCTGACCCCACATTCTCAAGAACCCACTGCTGGCCTGGTCTCAGAAAAGTACTGGGACATGGGCCCTGTACTCAGCTACTCAGCTGCTCCTACAAAGGCTTTCTTGTGACACATGCCTACCCACATTTTATGCTTTGTTGTCCCCAGGCAATCTACTTTACAGCCTTGTTCCCTTACCTGGTACTAACCATCTTCCTCATCAGAGGTTTGACCTTGCCTGGAGCAACAGATGGCTTGACCTACCTGTTCACTCCCAATGTAAGTAGACCTTATGCTTCTAGGGATGGTGGCCAGGGCATGCTGTGGTAAGGGTTGCCAAGGCAATGCATGGGAAGGTCCCACGGGAATCAAGAGGGGTATCATCTCTAGATGCAGCATGCAAGGCTTTGATCTGGGACAAGTAAGTAACTGAGTGGGGAGACATGAGGATGTTGCACAGTGCGGTGAGAGGCTGAGTGGGCCCCGTGTGTACCACATCTGGATCAAGTACTGCTCCATGCCCTGCTCCCCAAAACAGGGAGCCACAAGGCTCAGGAGGTCTGTGCCCAGATAACCCCAGGATCTTGGGAATTCTCCAGCACACTCCTAGTGTGGGGGCATGATAAGCACAGGCAGGCAACCTTGGGGCTGAGGGGAAGCCAGAAGAGGCATGTGAGTTAGTCCAGGATCCCCAGCATCAGAGAAAGAGTATAGTGATAGTTCCCACTCTCAGAGCCCCTGAAGGCACCTCAATGCCAGGTCTAGGAGAGCAATGACCGAAAGCCCTGGATTTGCAAGCTCTTGACCCAGGGACTCGTCAGACTTATCTCAGAACTGGGTCTGGTGCTACCCCCAGGCCTGCTCACTTCTGAGATGTTGGAATAAGTCACATCTTCCTCCTGATCATGAGCATACCAAATGTTTTGGAATAGCCAGACGGACCCGCTGGTATAGTCTGCCCACTGCATAGTGAGGCCACCCCCGTTCATTCCAGATGAAGATTCTTCAGAATCCACGAGTGTGGCTGGATGCAGCCACCCAGATTTTCTTCTCCCTCTCCCTGGCCTTTGGAGGACATATTGCTTTTGCAAGCTACAACCCGCCCAGGTATGGCCCATTTGGGCGTGTGGATCCCTTTACAGCTCGTGTGGAGCCAGCAAACCGGAGACAGACCCAGCAAATTGGAATCGCACTGTTGGATGAGGGAACCTCCTGTAAACTCTGAGAATTCCTTTTGTGTGGGGCTTTCTTAAGGCTTCCTGAGGTCTTAAATATCTACTGAAGACAATGCAGGCTATCTTCTAAAGGTTGCCAGGCTGGGCCTTGGTGGCAGTGTCTGGCATCTACCAGAGTACTCAGCTCACCCAAGGCTGAACAGGACTGTAAGTGGTATAATAAAAAAGCAACTGAGGATGCTCCAAGAACCTTGACAGCCATTTGGAAATAGCAGAGCACTACAATGGGAAGGCATGTGCCATATGACACAGCAGATCACAGTTAGAGCCAAAATAATAGGGGGATTTTTCACAAGCCATCTTGGCACAGTGACCAATAAACAGTATGAAGTTGATCAGATGGGATTAGTAGTTGTCTTTGTGAAAATATTCTTTGGTGGCCTTTGTGTGAGGTTTTGGTCCAGGAGAGTCCCTGTACTAGTGACTATTAGGCAATTGTGCAAGAACTCTTTTCTGTCATGACCCCAGGGTCATTTTTTAATGACTTATTTTAAATTATTATTTTTTTATTAACTTTTTTTTATGTGTATGGCTGTTTTTGCCTACTGTGCATGCATGCGTGCCTGGTGCTTGAGGAGGCCAGAGAATGTCAGATCTCCTGGAACTTGAGTTACAGCTGTTTGTGGGTACTGAGACGTGCACTTGGTCCTTCGCAAGAATAGTATATTCTGTGTCTTTAACATCATTTTTGTTAAAATCTTGGGTTGTGACATGGATAGCCCAAACCCTGGGCTTGCCAGTGACAGCGCTCTTGGATCCAGGATTTGTGCAGGAATGCCAGGGCAGTGGCACTGTGAACTACTTCTGGTACATCTACAAGATTTTCTGGATAAGGAATCCACAGAGACAGGACAGGAGGGCTGTCCCGAGGAAACCAGGACCACATAAGGAGGATGCTGAGCTGTGAAAGGCTGGGGACACATCCCACAGCAACATCATTTTTGATGAGAGCATTCACGTGCCTTTCACATTGGTCAGGATGCTGACCAAAATGTGCATGACATGTACAGGAACCACAAAAGCACACATGTAGTGTTAAGCTTGTTGGTCTCCTGACACAGCCCTTATGCTGACACGCACAGAAGCTGCAGCCAGATACACACTCTGCACACAGCACCCAGGGTGCAGTGGCACCCCGCTAAGCCATTGGGTCATACTATGACAGATTCTGGCAAACCAACTTTGTGTGGTCATCCACCTTTCAGTGGGACAGAAGAGGCTTCTGAGTGGCCCCTCTCTACTAGCCTTTAGGGAATGATATATGTAATCTGGAATCAAAGGAGGCTCTGAGTGTTTCTGATAGCTTACTGGCTTGAATTTACTCACTCAAAGTATACTTACATGCATTCTCCTTGGAAGATATGGAAGATAGTCTCTCTCTCTCTCAGGTTTTTTGAGACAGAGTTTCTCTGTGTAGCCCTGCTTATCCTGGATTAGTAGACCAGGCTGACCTTGGACTCATTGAGATCCACCTGCCTCCCCAAGTGCTGGGATTACAGGCGTATGCCACCACGACTGGCGGAAGACAGTCTCAAAAAACCTGCATTCATGAATGTCCAGACCTTCAGTGGCTCTGAGCTGGGTTGTAGTAGAGGAATGTGGGGAGAGGCTGAAGTCGTCCTGGCAGCATGAGGTCATCCCCTCATATCCTCCAGGTTCAGAGTGAGCACATCTCAGGATGTAGAAGTGCTAAGGAGGGAATTATTCCCATTTCCTCCTATAGGAAGCCTGGTTTTGACCCAGAAAGTCCCATGATGGCCATGTGCTTGTGTCCAGGAACAACTGTGAGAAGGATGCTGTGACCATTGCCCTGGTCAACAGCATGACCTCCCTGTATGCGTCCATCACCATCTTCTCCATCATGGGGTTCAAGGCGTCCAATGACTATGGGAGGTGCCTGGACAGGTGAGCATAGGTTCTGTATGGGGCTCTTCAGGGCAAGGGCACCACACAGATACCCACAATGGAATCCACATATGCACAGAGTGCATGGGCACGCCCTATTTTTTCAGAGTAATGATAGGAATAGTGTCCTCTGAAAGTTCCTGGCAACCTCAAAAAATGAATTGATTAGGAAAGAGTCTTTTTGATGGAAGTAAGACAGGAATTGAGATGAGGTAATCGTGTGGTAGGGTGGTCCTAGAGCAACGATAGATGTCCTTGTGAGACAGAAATGGACACAGAAGAGACAGCTGTGAAGCAGAGGGAAGAAGCTACAATGCAACTGGCCTATGGCCATCAGAAAGAAAGCTATTTCTGAGATACAATGGCACAGGAAATTCTCGTTCCAAAAGGGAGAATCAGGAGAATAGAAAAAAAAAAAGGATAAAATCAAGGCAAAACCAAAAACTACAAGTGAAATCCTGCATCTCTTTCTGGTACATAGGACACGTGGTAGTGGTATGATCTCCAAGAGGCCTTGGTAACCCTGTTTTCTTGGCCTTATCAGTTTTAGCTCACATGGCCTCTCTACTTGTCTGCAGCTTTCTTTAGCAGAAATTCTACATTCTTGGTATCTCCAGTATCTTGAGGTGTCCACAGCAGCTTAGCCTTCACCTTCAGCTTCCCATACTGCCTTCCCAGTCCCTGACTGCCAAAACTGTGACCTTATTTCACTGCCTGGCTTCCCAGACCTTCCTTAGAAGTCTGGGTAGAAGTCTTAACTGCCCTATAACCCTTATATTTTACCTGCCCATAAAAATCAGCATCAAGTGGATAATGCCAAGGTCTGCTATCCCCTTACTGCCAGACCCCTCATTTATGAGGTGAGTCTGCCTTCTCCTCACTCATGCCCACAGAAGAGGTGCCTGGCTCACAGGTGGAAATAACCTTTCCAGTACTGGCTAGATACAGTTATCCATGAGACACCAAAGGGTCAGGAAGGATGGAGTTCTCATCTGGGTGCTATTTGCTTCAGAATTTCCCTGGAACATTGGAATATTTGCTGGCCATTGTAGAACACCCAGTCCCATCCTCACCAGCCTCTTTGTGCTCCTGCAGAAACATCTTGAGCCTCATCAATGAGTTCGACTTTCCAGAGCTTAGCATCTCAAGGGATGAGTACCCTGCTGTCCTCATGTACCTGAATGCCACTCAGGCTGAGAGAGTGGCTCGACTTTCCCTGAAGACCTGCCATCTACAAGATTTTCTGGATAAGGTATCCACAGAGACAGGACAGGAGGGCTGTCCCGAGGAAACCAGGACCACATAAGGAGAATGCTGAGCTGTGAAAGGCTGGGGACACATCCCACAAAAAAGTACCTCAGTCCATCTGTATCTGACAGACAGGATGACTTCAGGATGACAAGGTTCCTGGGATACAGAACACAGGAGAAAGTAGCCAAATCCTAGTCATAGAGGCCAGTGGATGCTGAGGACCCACAGGCACCAGGTTAGGCATGGCTACCCAGGGGGAAGGTTCTCAGGGCAGTAGCTTCTGGCTCCTGAACACAAGGCCAAAGATTCCCTGCTCAGCTGCTCAATATTCCTTATTCAAGGAGAAGCACTTCCTTTCCACCCCTTAGAGGTGTGCTTGAGGTCTGTCCCATAAGAGCAGTGAAGCACTTCTGATACTGTAAGGCATGAGCGTATACAGGTCATGGTGTAGGTCATGTACATGTCACACATTCTATGGGACACACATGTCATGGTGGGCGAGGGGTACATAAAGGTGATGCTGTGGGTAAAGCACACATCACAGTGCAGGTGTGTCCATGTCATGGTGTGAGGCCTTTCGCATGTCATAGTGTAGAGTACACACATGTCATAGTGGGGGTATACATGTATACATGTGTGTACACACGGCGTGGGTGCATATGCCACAGTGCACATGTGTCACAGCGAGGGTGTACATGAGCTGTAGCGGAGCATAAATATGCCATGTATAGGGCACATGTGTCATGGTATGGATTGCACACAAGTTATGATGCTGTACACACATGTCATTGTGGATGCACATGTGTCACTGTGTGTATGTGTTACAGTGGAGCATTCGAAGGTAATGGATACACACGTATCATGATGTGGGTGAGCATGTATCATGATGTGAGATGTGTGCTGTGTACATGACTACAGCACAGCCCCTGTGTTGCAGAGTGCCTCAGGCCCAGGCCTGGCCTTCATCGTTTTCACAGAAGCCGTCCTGCACATGCCAGGAGCTTCTGTGTGGTCCGTGCTCTTCTTTGGGATGCTGTTCACCCTGGGTCTGTCCTCCATGTTTGGGAACATGGAGGGTGTCATTACACCACTGTTTGATATGGGGATCTTACCCAAAGATATACCCAAAGAGGCCATGACTGGTGAGTAATTGGCTGGAGAGCCTGTCCCACTGTCTACCCTGACCTGTTGTCCATCCTGCTCACTGTCTGACAGCCCACCTGGAAGCAGAGCTTCGGGGACCCATGTTCCTGGGGAAGGCTGGGCCAGGCTGACTTCTAAAGGCTGGGAAGCCTCAGTGGTCCCAGGCTGGAGCAATAGTGAGAAAGAAAGGATAGGGGGAAGGAAGATAGAAATGGGGGAAGGGAGAGGAAGAGCTGGACTTCCCCTCCCCTATTCTTATGCAAGCTGAGCCCCCTTCCTAGGAGGTCCTCCTTGTTGCCTGGCACAGCACTGAGAGGGATGGGGAGGAAAGAACCAAAGGACCAGGGAAGCCTCTGGTCCTCCACTGTCTCTCACCCTGCTCACCTTTGTCCCCAGGGGTGTCCTGCCTTATCTGTTTCCTCTCAGCCATCTGCTTCACGCTGCAGTCTGGAAGCTACTGGCTGGAGGTCTTTGACAGTTTTGCAGCTTCTCTGAATTTGATCATCTTTGCCTTCATGGAGGTGGTTGGGGTCATTTACGTTTATGGCATGAAGCGGTGAGCTCTTCCATCACCCCACTTCAGGGCAGGGCAAGGAATTGAGTTGAGGCGCAGCTGTACCCACTGCTGTCCAGAACACTCTGAGATGGTACTCTGAGATCCAGGATGGGGGCGGGTGCCCACTGTTCTTGACTTTGGAGGATGGGCTGGCCAGGGAGGCCACAGTAGAAAGCCTGAGCCAGTGTCTTCTGCAGGTTCTGTGATGACATTGAATGGATGACTGGGAAGCGGCCCAACCTCTACTGGCAGGTGACATGGAAGGTGGTGAGCCCTCTGCTGCTGTTCAGCATCTTCCTGTCCTACATTGTCCTTCTGGCCCAGAGACCACCCAGCTACAAGGCCTGGAACCCCCAATATGTAGGTTCTTTCCACAGTGCTGTGGGGCCTTCTCGGGCTTGACCTAGCATCCATGGCGCCAGCTGCAGCTTAGGTGGCCTACACATGGAAATGTAGTGTGACACTTCAGGTTACTGGGAAATTAGGGTATAGACATAATGGCTGGCATTCAAGGAAAGGGGCTGGTAAGCTGAGTGGGAACCCCAGAGTGTCTAGACTCTAGGGCAGCTCTTCCCAACCTGTGGTTCACGACCCCTTTTGGGCATAGAAAAACCCTTCCACAGGGGTCACCTAGGACCATTAGAAAACACAGCTATTTATATTATTATTCATAACAGTAGCAAAATTCGTTAGAAATAAAATAGCGACAAAAATAAGTTTATGGTTGGGAGTTAACACAATATGAGGAACTTTAAAGGGGTGCATCATTTGAAGTTTGAGGGCCACTGCTCTAGGAACATCATAGGTCCCAATAGACTGCTTCTTAGGGATATGGCCTCATTTTCTGTCTCTGTGTGTTTGGGACAAACAGCAACAAAACTCCTCATATTCTGTCTATGAGGAGATATGTAAAGAGCAGGTGTCTTATGACTATCAGTATGGATCCAGTCCTCTCAGCCTCCCAAAGCCAGCTGGTCCCTTCCAGCTGGGAGTCCTTGCCTTTACCCTATTGCCTTGTCCTCGGAGGCATATGTGCACAGTTCAGAATCTCATCTGCACCCATGCCTCTCGTTATCATGAAGGCAATCCTCCCCAAGTCCACCCCAGCAAAGCAGCAGGAACCAGTAAAGTAGGCCATATACTCAAGAGGTTTTCTTGAGAACTGTCTCATTAGATTACCTTCTTCTTGCCCACCCAAACACATAAGGGACATCTGAAGTCGCGTGAGTGGTGTTACCATGTCACAGAGGAGAAAGCTAGGGACTCAGAGTAATAGCTGGCCTCTGGATGATGCGTCCCACTCTCAGGATGGGTTGGGATAAGGAAGTCCTGGCCAAACTTCTTTCATTTCCCCAAGAATCCATGTGCTCAGTGTTGTTTCAGGAAGCGGGAGTGAAGTTGCTATGTATGTGGGTGGTAGCTAAGGATCAACCAGGCTCCACTTAGAGACGGGTGCTGTGGCCCTGCCAGGACATGTATCTGAGCATGATCTTCTGTCCCCACAGGAACATTTCCCCTCAAGAGAGGAGAAGCTCTACCCAGGCTGGGTGCAGGTCACCTGTGTGCTCCTGTCCTTTCTGCCCTCACTGTGGGTCCCGGGAGTCGCTCTGGCTCAGTTACTGTCTCAGTGCAGACGGAGGTGGAAGGATGCACATCTGGAAAGTGGTCTAAGGCCACAGGAGAGCAGGAACTGATGAGGGGGTGAAGCCAGGGTAGACCAGCGTGGAAGAGAAGGCCTGTGCCACTCATTACACTGTGTCCATTACTGAGCCCATGTGGTTATTGCTTTCCCAGCTTTCTGTATGATGGAAGGTTCATAGGCTCAGGGAAGCTGCAGGTTGTCCACTGGGCATCTGTGTGATGCCAAAGCTAGGTCCTGCAAAGCTAGGGTACAGTCTATGTGGACATGGCTTCCCCTGAAATCTGTGTTGATGTGGGCAGCCCTGAGTGTACTCCATTGGCATAGTGGCAGGACTGCAGAATCCCTTTTCTATGAATGGCCTCTACATTACTAATTCCAGAAATCCAGCCCTAATAGCTGAGTTCAGGGGGAAGAACCTGACAGGCAAGAAATCTCTTCCCCCTCCCATATTGTCCTGGAGTCACTACATCTATGAAGAGACCCACAGGTACAGATGTCCGATCATTAGAGAACGCAGTATCCCACGCCCACAACCAGTGCCACAGCGGTGGGGTGGCCACAAGCTGAGGAGGTACTGACTGTATGATTAACTCACCATACAAATTGTCACTTTAATTTTTCAAGCGTCTAAGTTTTGCTTGTCAAGAAGATACGATAAGGCTAGTGGACAGTCAGTTTCCACTCTCATGAAAGCGATAATGGCTTATTCACTCACATCTGTTCTCTTATGGGGACTCTTCACTGCCCAGCCCTCGGCAGCCTTCTGGCTCAGCCATGGCTCCAGAAACATAGAAGGGCTCTTTTCCTTAGTTCCTTCATGCTCAGAGAAGCCCCTCCCCATCTCCCTCCTGTTCTGTTTTCTGCCCCTTTCATCAGTGCTGTGAAATCATGGTGGTCTGTGAAGGCTGGGTCCCTGGACAAGAATGTTTACTTCTGACAAGTTCCCACAGAGCCAACAACTGGTGGCTTTGTGGTGTCAGTGACTGCCCAGGCGCAGCAGACCCTGTCGTGAAGGAGATTGGGACAGATGCTGCTGTCCTCGGTGCTGATATTTTAAGTAAGAACGGTTTACATGTGTGCAAATGTGGCTCTTACTGGAAGCCATCCTTGCCATGGGCAGCCCAGAATCCAAAGCAAACATCAAGGTTTCTGCTGTCCACATGCAGATCTACTTCCCCTTCTGCCATTGAGAAAGGCTCCTGGTGAGCAGGGGTGTAAGAGGCACCTATCTTTATATAAGGTGTATTTCATGTCCATATCGTGTTTCAAAAAGGGGATGTTGTAGGGTCCTATTGTCAGGGAAAAACTTTCAGTGTAGGGCATCATAAAGCAGGCTGGGCTCTGCTAGCATCTTGGAGGAATATGCCTTCTTTCAGAAGCTGACATGGAAGCTTGTGTGTCCTGCACCCCTAGAGCTCAGAATATGGAGTCCTTCTTAGCCACAGAGAGCAAAGGCTTGGGTACCCACCACTTCAGAACAGTCTACTCTGCATACATTCTTGATACAGCTACAGAAGTATCTGAGTAAAAAGAAGATGGACAGAAGGCATGTCCAACAGGTGGCTGACAGGTGGACATGCCGACAGACTAGCATCCCAAAACAGCAGAGGCATACCAACCTCTGCCAAACAGGCTGATTTGTTTGGAGCCTCTGGTGAGTGCCTTGGAAATTAGGATGGCTGCCAAAGCACTATCCAGGAGGAGGTGAACAATAGCCCCAGATATCAGAGCAAAGGTACATGGGCTGAGCCTACATGACCATGCCTACATGACCATACCTACATGCAAGGTACCCTTAAGTTGACCCTGCCCTTGAGAAAAACATGGGCTAGACATGTCCAGCAAAGACTGGACCACAGACCTGCAAGCTGCAGGGCAAGTGTCAGCTTGGAAATGAAGCTGCTGTGACTGGACTGGCCTGTTACCTCTGAGATGGACATAGTGCCCATGCCTTCCTCAGCCACATGATTCCACACTTCTATCAGCATTTTTCTGTGGCCTTGCTCTATCTATCTATGGCTAAGGTTAGGATAATACTTGGAGTGGTGTTCCTTTAAGCTCTCGGGTGAAAGGTAGTTCTGTATCCCAGGTGATCCTGAGAACCATGCTCAGACAAGCCAGCTTGCTATATGGGAAGCAGCCCTTACAAAAGGTGGAACTGGAAATCATTGTGAAAGACGCCACCATTGTGGTTGGGGAGTGGGTCTGCAGAGGGGACAGGCTGATGTGTCTTAGCACAGAGAACAAGTCCCGCTTGGGTCCTTTCTTTCGTGCTGTGTGAGGCAGGGGCCTGGCTCTACTGCATTTCAGCTGCAGGAGAACAAACCACGGAGCTCACCTTCCATATGGCAACATGGCAGGGATCTATTCCAGCCACACAGGGATATATAACAAACTCTACTAACCAGGAAAATGTGCCTCCATTTTTTTGTGGCCTTTGTAAACTGAGTCTTGCCTGAAGAGGTGTAACCCAACTGTGAGGTGAGGACCCCATGCAGCAGCTTGGGCCACTTGGGAGCTTGGGAGCTACAGCCACCCCATTACCTTATCTGCATGAATATCTTGCTGAGGTGAGGGAGGTTGGCATACAGAAAGTGTAAGAGGGCCTGTCCAAGTTTGTGGGCAACTGTTCAGGCTGGGCTACTGGTTCTGTTGTCAGGAAAACTGGAGTTCCCTTTAGGTTCTTGGTCTCGTTAATAAAATAATTAAAAATGAACTCAGAAGGCAGCTTGAGGACATTTTTTATTAAAGTTTAAGAGAAAATACAAGCAAGAAGAAAATCTCAGCAGCTGCCAAAGGAAGGGAGATGGAGAAAAAGTTATGTCTTTCAGGCATGGGTGTAAAGAAAGAAAAAGTTCAGGGTCTCAGGGAAAGCATGTTTAGGAGTGCCAAGCTGCAGACCGAATTCAGAGGGTACTTGATTCAAGGACTGCTCCAGAGATGTGTGGCTAAAAACAGAAATAGATGCGGCTTACTAAGAAAGGGAAAGCACCCCAAGAATGAGACCATGCCAGTGAGCTGGGCGAAGAGCCCAGAGAACACTGGAGCTAGCGCTCACGCCCTTTATTGGACCTTTATGAAATACCCAGCTCTCCTAAGTTCTGTATCCCACTTATGTCCGGGACATGATCCATTCCATAGAGAAAAAAATCCAGGTAGAAAACAAAACAAAACAAGTCTTCCTCTGCAAAATGGCTTTTCACCATGCTAATCTTGATGTTTCAGTCTAGTCCCTGTCCCCTGCCTCAGGTCCCCACACTGATCCTCAGATCCTACCTGAGAACAAGACCCAAGTTTGTCTCTAACTTGTCACCATAACAAATTCCTGAAAATCAGAAGCTCATCCCAAACATATTTGTACTCTTACTGCCATGAAGGTTCAGAGTGTGAATCAGGTCTTACTTCTCTTTTGCTAGACTGGTTGGTAGCACCTTCATTCCTGGGCTTGGCTCTTTCCTCCAACTCACAGACAACAGTGGATGCTTTAGTTTTTCTACAACCCAACTCTACTTATTATTTCCTCTTACCAACCCTGGGATGATCTCAGACCCATCCAGATAAATAGGATGATCATGTATCTTCAGGTTAACAGACCAGCTACCTTCACTCCATCTATAACCTTAGCCACACTTCAAGATCAGAAAGCATAGTAGGTTTCTGGGAACCAACACATCATTGTTATTGTTGTTCTATTCACAAGTGAGCTGGCTAGTTTTATGTCAACTTGACACAAACTAAAGTTGTCTGAGAGGAAGAACGCCAATTAAGAAAATTCATCTGTAGAACTGGGCAGTACACAAGCCTGTAGAAATTTTTCCTAAGTAGTGGGTGATGTGGGAGGTGCCTCCCCTGGGCTGGTGATCTTGGCATTATAAGAAAGCAGACTGAGCTAGGCTAGCTATGGGAAGCCAGCCAGTAATCAGGACCCCTTCATGGTCTCTGTATCAGCTCCTGTCTCCAGGTTCCTGCCCTGTTTGAGTTCCCATCCTGACTTTCTTCGGTGATGAACAGTGATGAGAGTTCCTTTGGTCATGGTGTTTCATCACATCAATAGTAACTAACCCTAACTAAGACAATATACTCTTGGGAAAGAGAGAAGTCTGACAGGTCCATCTGTTCTGCAGTATCCTTCACAATTTTTCTTAGGGTTTTATTTCTGTGAAGAGATGCTTTAACCATGGCAACTCTTACAAAGGAAAGCACATAATTGGGGCTGGCTTACAGTTCAGAGGTTTAATCCATTATCATCATGGCAGGAGGCATGGTGGAGTGCAGGCAGACATGGTGCTGGAGAGGGGTTAAGAGTTCTACATCTGGGTCCTCAGACAGCAGGAAGGAGGGGTGACAGTGGGCATGACGAGCATCTGAAACCTCAGAGCCAACTTACAGTGCCACATTTCCTCCAACAAGGCAATACCTCCTAATAGTTCTGCTCCTTATGTGCCTATTGGGACCATTTTAATTCAAACCACCACACAGGTGAATATCTAGGTGCCAAGTATTGAGCCCAGTGTGAGGGCATCCAAAGAGGAGCAGAAAGGAACTGTTACTCTGTAAGGAGCTCAAGACTGGCTCCAATGATACTTCCTTGCCATGCTCAAATTCTTTTCATTCATGTTCTCCTTTGATTTTATGTACATGTTTGTGTGGTCAGAAAACAACCTGGTTCCCCAGGAGCCATTTGTCTTAGTTAAGGTTTCTATTGGAGCAGTGAAAACACCATGAACAAAACACCAAAAAACAAGCTGGGGAGGAAAAGTGTTTATTCAGCTTACATTTCCAGATCATAGTCCACACCTGGAGGAAATCAGGACAGGGCTGGAACCTGGAGGCAAGAGATGATGCAGAGGCCATGGAGGGGTGCTGCTTACTGGCTTGCTTCCCCTCACTTGCTCAGCCTGCTTTCTTTTAGAACCCACGACCACCGGCCCAGAGATGGTACCACCCACAATGGGCTAGGCCTCTGTTGATCACTAATCAAGAAAATGCCTTTCAGGTAGATCTCATGGAGGCATTTTCTCAGCTAAGGCTCCTTCCTCTCTGATGACTCTAACTTGTGTCAAGTTGACACACAAAACCATCCAGTACAACTGACCCCTTGTCAACTTCACACACGAACAATCACTATTAAGCCACAACCCTTTCTTTAAAAAAAAAAAATATTTATTTTTATTTTATGTCACTGGTGTTTTGCCTGCATGTGTCTGTGTGAGGGTGTCGGATTGCCTGGAACTGGAGTTAGAGACAGTTGTGAGCTGCCATGTGGGTGACTGGGAATCAAACCTGGGTCCTCTGGAAGAGCAGGCAGTGCTCTTAACCTCTGAGCCATCTCTCAGCCCCAACCCTTCCTTTCTTATTCATCCCCAAGATCTCACTTTAAAAACATAAATAACTTTAAAAGTCTCACAGTCTTTACAAAATAAAACACATTAAAATTTTAGTCTCTTTAAAATATCTAATCTCTTTAAAAATCCAAAATCTCTTTAAAAAGTTCAAGGTCTTTCAGTTATGAGCTCCTGCAAAAATCAAAATTAAATTAAATATCTTCTTCAAGAGGGAAGATCTAGGGCACAGGCACAATCTGAACCAAGCAAAACAAAACCCCAACATTATAAGTAACTCAATGTCCAATGTCTGGGATCCATACATGATCTTCTGGGCTCCCCCAAAGGGCTTGCTCCAGCCATGTCCTCTGTTGCACACACAGTTTATCTTCTAGGTTCTGGCTGGCTCCATTCCACTGCTGCTGCTGCCTTTCTCTCTGGTCGTCCCTGGTACTGGCATCTCCGAAACTGCTGGAGTCCGTTGCTGCAACTGGACTGCGCTTTCACCACCAATAAGCCCTCTTCATGGTGACAAGCCTCAACTTCTTTGCATGACCCATTCAGTCCTGGGCCTTCACCTGCCACTGAGGCTGCACCTTCACTAATGGCCTCTCCTGGCCTCTCACAGTGCCAAGCCTCAGCTGCTCTCAAAATAGCAAATAGCCCTGATAGAGTCTTTAATCTTCCCTCTGAAATTCCATAGGCCAGGCCTCCATCTTCCGCGTTGCTTTTAACATTCTTGTCTTCTTACAGGACAGCTCACCAAGCATTGAACAATGACTTTTCTAACCCAAAGTTCCAAAGTCCTTCCACAATCCTCTCCAAAACACGGTCCTGTCTGTCACAGCACTAACCCATTCCTGGTACCAACTTGTCTTTGTTAGGGTTTCTATTGCTGTGATGAAAACACCACGATCAAAAAGCAAGTTGGGGAGGAGAGGATTTATTCATTCAACTTACACTTCCAGATCAAAGTCCCTGACTGGAGGAAATCAGGACAGGAACCCAAGGGGGTTTGGAACTGGAGCAAGGACTGATAAAAACGTCATGGAGGGTGCTGCTTACTAGCCTGCTTCCCCTGGCTTGCTCAGTCTGCTTTCTTATGGAACCCATGACCACCAGCCCAGAGATGGCACCACCCACAATGGGCTGGGTCTTCCCCCATCAATCAGTAATTAAGAAAATACCTTAAAATTGGATCTTATAGAGGCATCTTAACAACTGAGGCTCCCTCCTCTCTGTTGACTCTAATTTTTGTCAGGTTGGTGCACAAACCCAGCTAGCACATCATCCACATTTTAGATTATTATTTTTTTTTAATTTGACTTTTAGACAGGCTCCATCACTGGCTTGGATCTCACCAAGCAGGCTAGGCAGCCCGGAAACCCCAAGGAGTCACTTGTCTCCACCTCCACAGTCCTGGGATTACAAGCATGCACCTCTACACTTGATTTCTTTGCATGGGTTCTATGCTTGCAGGCACACACACACACACACACACACACACACACACACACGCACGAACAGAGCTTGGCTCTAGGAGAAGACAAAAAACAAAATAGATTCTCCTTTGCTTTTGTAACTTTGCCACTTTTGTTTCATCCTGAGCAGATCGGGCAGTCTCCATAGTAGTTGAAGAAAAAAACTCAGTAACTTCATGAGTTGGGCCGGTCAGAACATAAGCCTTTAGCCAGGGATTATCAATTTTATAGGAATACAGACTTGAGGAGGGCTGGAACTAGATGAACATGACTAGAGATCATAGACTGACTGATGATATGATGTTACGGGAGCACCAGAGAGGCCTGGGTTTGCCCAGACCATGTGGAAGATTTCTAGTCTCCTGCTGAGCTGTGACCTTGGCTCCTGGAATTTCCCAGTCCTATTTTGATTCTGTTACTGAGTGTCCTCTGCCCTGGGATTGGGTTGGCTCCAGCAGGCTGCCTGCCAGGAACTGCAAACATACATCTGCATATGGAAGCTCCAGGAACCTGGTTGTATTTATGATCCACTCCCTGGACTTGGCTCTGCCGTAAATGCCAGGGGCTTAGTCGTTTGGATGCACTAAAGGGAGGCAGGATGAACAAGGCCATATCATAAGGCCAGCTGGTGCCTGTTAGGCTGTCTCAGCACTGGGAATCCCGTCCAAGGCACAGTTTCTGCAGCCTCACCAGTGATATTCTGGGAGCTTCCAGAATTGCTCAAAGCTAACTGGTTGTGACTGAGACATCAGTGAATCCAGATCCTCCATCTTGGAAGTGGAGGGCTGTTCTTTACACCTCCATGCCCTTCTGGTTGGTCTTCCTACTCCCAACGTTATCCTCAGGCTGTCTGTTGAATGGCATTTCTCTAGCTTTACTAAAGGTGAAAGATCCCCGGAGGGTATCTTCCATCTGAGA